ATATATATATATATATAATTCTTAATATAGCAGAACCTAAAGAAAAAGACAATAGGGACTATGACAACTGTTGTTTTTAAGTAGCTAGAACTTTTAGGAACAGGGCCAGATGCTGAGAATATGCATTTTCAGAAATTAAGCCAACAACATGCTTAGAATGCAGTTATTTACATGGAGTGGAGAAGAGAACGTATAAATACAGAAGGCAGCCCCACAGTGTAGTGCTTCCTGTCTCTAGTGAGCTGACAGGTAGGTGCATCACCTCCCAGATTGTAAATAAGCCAATTCACACGCAATGTCCCATGCAAACGTAGCTCAGATTTCATGGTTTGATGGAAAGATTGCAGTGTGTTCAAGCATCCTTGGGCTTCTGTACTATGTAAGTGTTACCTGCCACGATTTTTATATCAGACACGAATCATAGGAGTGTGTCGTGATCATTTCCCCATGCTGTAGAGTGGTTCTCCTTTTTTCTTTGCTTCGGGGATGGAAAATAACTCCTAAAGGGACAAATGACCACAGAGATGCTTGCTGGGAGGCTGGAGGGGGGCAGATGGTTAGAATCTCCGGTTGCCTATGTGTAGGAAGTCTCAAAAGCAACATCACAGGGAGGCTAAGCCAGCCCCTCTCCCCATTTGGGGAAGTAGTCTTGTAAAGGTGGGGGGCTGAGTAGAAATACAAGAGAAGGATTTCTAACCCTGGAGTAGGACATAAGTGAGCAAGTACAGGAGCAGTCTCCATTTCTTCATTTCCCTCCACCGTTTCCTAAAAGCAAATGGGAAAGAAGAGAAAGCCATTGGAGGGGAGAAACTGAATCCAGACGCTTCTGTACCAAGCAGAAGGCTTAAAAGAATGTGAAATGAAAGATTAGACCTTTTTGTTTGAACAGTTGTCTCGCTCTACCAAGTGGAAGACAGAATGAGAAGAAGGCACCTAGGAAAATCCCCACGTGCCTTGTTAGGGTGCCCATCCTAGAGTTTTGAGCCGTGAGTTGGCGCTAAGGGAAATGCAAGTATACTTGGGTGTGGCACAAAAATATTGAATGATGCGTTATTTATGTTTATTAAAGGAAACATTGATACAAATAATATACAATAAACACACTAAGTATATCCTGTTCTTTGTTTGAAACGGTTCTTTTTTTCTGCCTGCACAGCCCTACACAGTGCTGCATTTGAAACTCTGTGCTGGAATCATGATAACTGCCTCCCATAACCCAAAGCAAGATAATGGTTACAAGGTATTCATTCTGGTTTTTTTTTTTTTCTTTCCACACCTGTATCCTTCTATGTGCATCCTATACCTTTACGGTATAGGTAACAGAGGCTTTACTTCCATTGACCCTAAGCCATCTGGATATGTTCCTACATCCTCCAGGTCTACTGGGACAACGGAGCTCAGATCACCTCTCCTCATGACAAAGGGATTTCTCAAGCTATTGAAGAAAATCTAGAGCCATGGCCTCAAGCTTGGGATGATTCTTTACTTAATGGCAGTCCACTGCTTCATGACCCAAGTGCTTCCATCAAGAAGAGCTACTTTGAAGACCTGAAAAAATACTGTTTTCACAGGTAAATGGATTGTAAACTCACCTCAAGTGAGTTGAAATTTGTGATTCAGCCAAGTTCTATCAGTTTTCATGAATTTTTTCTCTTCACTCGGTATATCTTCTGTAGCTGTATCTGGTTTTAGAGGCCGTAGGTCAGGGGTTGGGCATTTTTCTTGAAAGGACAGATAATAAATTTTGTTGGCTCTGTGAGCCATTGTATTATTACAACTACCCAACTGTTGTGGTGGTAGGAAAGCAGCTATAGATGAAACACGAGTGAATGACAACAAACATAGCTCGGTTAAAAAAAAATTATTTACAAAAGCAGGTGGCTGACATATTGGCCGTACTTCAGTGACCTCTGTGGTAGAATCATAGATACGTGTATATATGCATGTGAGTGTGTATATGTGTATATGTATGTAAAAAAAAAAAAAAAAACTTGCTAAAACATGGCGAAAGGAAACACTGATGTTTTGTATCTTTCCAGAAATTTTCTGTGCCTATGCTAGCATATTGTATGTGTAGTGTGTTTCAAAACCATAAACAGGAATATAGCGTGCGTGTAGTTTGTTCCGTGCCTTTCTCCCCCCAGTTAGTCATGGATACCTTCTGTGTCAGCCCCTACTAGTCCTGACTCCTCTGCTGTAAGGGATGCTGTACACATTGATTTAACCCGGTGGCTCAGAGACTTGATACGTACAGTTAGGTAAGAAGCAGACCAGCTGAGTAACTGTGTGGTCCTTCTGTAGCATGCTGTGGGTCCCACCACTGCTGACTGTCCTCCAGCAAGAAAGCACTGGTTTTAAAGAAGCATAATTTCTAGACCGTCTCTAATATTGTATTTGTTGGACCACTGGGACCAGTTGCAGCTGAAGGGAGTGGCCCTACAGGCTGGGTGTTAGCATGTGCAAATGGAAGTCCAGAGCGGCCAGATCACCTGACTTGTTCTGCGTAAGAGAAATGAGAAACCTAAATTTTCCACGTGAAATCTCCTCATTTTTAAATACTGGCGACCATTTTGCAAATGGCGTGTTCGAGGGTAAGGGTCTCGAGTTGTTTGCTCCTCAGAGCACTGGGGGCAGCACGCCTCGGCACAGTTCCTGGAGAACCTGTGTGTGCGCACCTGTGCGTGTGCGTCATAGGAGACATTCTGGCATCAGCGTTGTACGTGCATTTACAAAGTTGGCAATGATTAATAAATTGCTCTCCAGAAATGTTATTCTAGCGGACACTCCCACCAACGTCATCATAACAATATCAAATACAATGATGGAATATATCGAGTATATCTTAGCAGTGTATGATCCACACATCTTACCCATACTGAGTATTATCAACTTTCTTATTCTGCTAGATGAAAGGAGTGTCTGGGGGCGCCTGGGTGACTCAGTTAAGTGTCCAACTCTTGATTTTGGCTCAGGTCATGATCTCCTGGTCCTGAGAGCCTGCTGGGAGTCGGGCTCTATGCCCTCTGCACCGGGCATGGAGCCTACTTGACAGTCTTTCTCTCTCTCCCTCTGCCCCTCCCCCACTTGCACTTGCGCTCCTGCTCTGTCTCTTAAAAAAAAAAAAGTAATATTGTATTTGGATTCTTTAAGTATGAATAAACTATTTTTTCATATTCATTTAGCCTATATTTTTCTATGTATTTATTCATTTTTTGCATCTGTGAAACCTCTTTGCTTACATAGAAAACTAGTCTTCATTTATTTCAAATATTGTTTTCCATTCTGCTCTTGTTACCTTTGGACTTTTTTATTGAAACTTTTGGATGAAATCTTATAAAAATTTGATTAAAAAGTTGACTTTTTAATTTATGAGTTCTGAATTTTATGTCAGATTTAAGACTCTCTACACCAAGATTATTTTTAAAAATCCCCCTTTTTTCCCTGGGACTTGCATATTTACATTTTATAATGTTTAAATCTTTTCTTTCACTGGTGATTTATAATTGTGCCTGAGACACAAAATAAGAAAGCAGATTGGGGCTTTTTTTTTTTTTTT